GCTAGACCGAGATTCTTCACTACCCTCAAGTGCCTTTCATGCATCCAGTTGAATAGGTTAGAATGTGATGGGAACTGTGATTGAGTCATTTGACTTACTGAGACTTGCTACCATGAAATTACTTGGATGATGGTAACTTTGTTATTTAACCACTTGCTTGCTGAGAGTCGTCTGGCCGTGCGACTCGTGTAACTGAGCTAAACAAGAATTTGAGAACAGAAAACTGATGCACAACCAGATGCCTTTTGTTTAGGTTGAAAGAAAGAAAGTGGCGTGATAACGAGGTGTACAAAATTGATAGAGGCGATGTTTGCTTGATTCAGTCGGCTTTCGTGTCACCATTCGAGCCGACATGCTTTTTTTAAATGTGTCTTATGGGCTAGGCTCGTCGGAACCGATCGATTGCACGCAGCTTTGACTGCGTGAAGTTCCTCTCCGAGAAACTACAAAGCTGTACGCATACCATCAGCGACCTATATAGCAGTTTTTTTCATTGGAACTTGCCGCCTCAGTGACTACATCTTCGGTACACTCCCTCCGAACGCGGTCTCCCAACATACACATCGTTTTTTTCAAGACAAAACTATTGTATCATTCGTTTGCCTCAGTGACTACATCTTCGGTACACTCCCTCCGAACGCGGTCTCCCAACATACACATCGTTTTTTTCAAGACAAAACTATTGTATCATTCGTTTTCCGTGAATCCTCTCATCAAAGATGCGCATGTCAGGTGATGACATGTGATTCTAAGTTGCTACTAGATTCTCTGAGTTTGGTCACGCGTTGAGCGCACAAGATGGGTTGATGATCTATTGTTTATAAGTACTCTATTGGGCGGTAACAGGTAGCAGTCACGTATGTTCTTTTCTCCAAACAATACGTCAGCAAGCGAGGGTTTCAACCATAGTAGCCAATGCTGCTATGTCTGTATAGCGAAATGCCGTGTTCAAAAGACTAGCATCTGTTAAGATAGGTATCGATCTTATTTGTTTGAATACACTACTATAAATAGGCTTTGCTAAACAATGAAGATACGCCCAAAAATATGTTCACGTTGTACAAGGCGCATAAAATTGTACAAGCTGACTCGCTATTAACTGTTGTTTGCGTCGACGGTAAACCTAAGTGACTGTGTCGAATCTGAATACGACTGTACTTGCGGTTCTAAGCTTTTACAGTGGCAACAAAACAATTAATGTGCACACCACCATAAATTGTAGAGCAATCAAGTAACCAGCCTCGTTGTGTTATTTTCTCCCTAGCCTGCCGATTTTCTGTTTTGCCGTGCACAAGTATGCCGACGTAACACTTCAATTTGACGCGGTCACCCAATGGAGGCAGTTCCAAGCATTATAGCAAAACTACCCAGTGAATCGTTCACCGGAAAATAAAAATGGCGTGGGTTTTCTGTGAACGTTTTTGAGTATGATTTCACATAAGTTGGCTCCTTCTTGCGGTTAACCCCCATCCAGAGGGTTCTTACCTGTTTCATACGGGTGTCGTTTTCTTGCTTTGGCGAGTAATGACCATTCCTCCCGTTTAACTCTGGTGCTATGCCTTATTACGCGTGGAAGATTTGGGATTCCACTTTAATTGTTACCTCTAGCTCACGATTTTTAAGATTTCAAACTTTAGGACCAAATGATTTCGGACGTGTTTTATGGCGTTTCGCAGTGCATTTGATTCAACAAACAGAACTCCCGGAGCTCTTATACAGCTTAATTGACAAATGCAATATGTTTAAACTGGTGACAGAGTATCTAAACTTCCCGTCGACGAATATGGCGCTGTTCGCTAGGCTATCATGTCATGGTAGCCATCCAGTGTCTATAGGGACTGATTAAACCTTCACGAGCAGTACACTTTCAGAAGGTAAGTTTATGGCATTACCGTCGGTGTAGCATGTTTCAAACTAACACGATCTTATTTTTATGAAGGTACTACTCACAAGGTTACTGAAAACCCTTCAACAGCCCATGACCACTTTTGCACTTCTTGGGGCTCACAGGTGGGCGCAGTCCCCGATTTTCTGTCAGTCTTTTGTTATACTTGAACCCAACTTGGAAAGATCTCGACAACTACACTCAGTTACATAGCAACTGGGTTTTCACGAGAGACGCAACTGAATCTCTCGTTTGTGATACCATTCAAATGAATGTGCTGCACAGAGACCGCCTCATGTTTCAGTTGGTATGATAATCGAGTTATCGCGGTATAGACCCGAGGGCTGCGTCGGTCATGGGCTGTCGAAGAGTTTTCAGCAACCTCGTGAGTAGTTTCCTTTATGAAAATATACTGAGATATCTCGAATATCGCGCCAAACGAAACTTGAGGCAGCCTTTGTGCAACACATTCAGTTGAAGAATATCATAAACGAGGAATTCATTTGAGTCTCTCGTGAAAACCGATTTGATTTGCTTTGTCCAAACAGCATCTTATTTATTCAAACAAGACAAAACCCATGTGTCTATGGATACATGGTACCACATTACAACAAAAATCATTTAACCGCTCCGAGGTTATCCTCACGGCGACGGCGGGGGAGTAAACATCTCGAGGATACTTCACCCCACAACGACGGTTACCCAACTCAAGTTAACTGCGATCCCCTGTGACTTGATGTAACACAAACAAGTTGAAAAAAACCACTTTCAAAGTTTACCAACGTTTTTACTTTATTCGATGAGTTCCCATCCCAAAACACTACTAGCTTCGTGATCCGAAATTTTCAAATTGCCAATGTCTTACTGACCGTTTTTATACTACTCATTGGTCGCCCTCAGCATACCGGGTAACAGTGTAAACAGCAGTGCCTCGAGCTTTTATCAGCTTCAGAAAAAAACTTTCGTGTAAATCCTCTCGAAACACATGACGAGTTGCTTCCTAAAACAACCGTGTCACCCTTCCGTTTATAGGCAAGTAAATATGAATACACACCGCCTACAAACCGCAGAACTACCCTTTTGCACATGATTTGTTAAAATCCCCGTTCTCACAATTTCTTTGCGGAGAAAGTTCACTGTTGGTTTTTATCTACTAACGTTTCAAACCGTTGAACCTTGCGTTTTGCAGTCATTCGAAGACCTGTGTCGCTAGTTACCAAGGGATCATTCTGGCAACACCAGTATTGTAGAGTGAACCTCTCTCAATCACACCACTTGGAATTAAGGCCATAGTCCTGACCAGTCCACAGAAGGCCACGTATAATTAGTTCCTCCTTCCCCAAACAGAGGTGACACCCAAGAGGATCCAAGTCTGGATTCTCCTTAAAGGAAATGCACAGTGCAATGACCACATTAGGATAGCTATTGAAAACAGACCAAGCGGCCTCGTCTGAACCCACGCAAATTTGTGATCTTTATTGCTGAATCGTGTATGAATGAAATAACATGGGGATCAAGGCAGACTGGCTGTGACCTATTTATCAGTCAGCTCTTGTTTCACATGTCGTTTGTGTAAAGGAGTGTGGGTGGAATTATCTGTGAACACCGCATCCCATCATACTGGTGCTTCAAATTTCACAGTAGAATCGCTAATTTGCAAAGCCCATAGGATTTCTGTGATGATCGGGCCAGCGTTGAACCGGTGTTTTCCCAATAAACCTGTAATCGTCTAATACCGGGTTTCAAAAATCCCAATGATGTCCTCCCAGGAGACCAATATTTCATCATGCCGCTAATGAATAAATACCTTTCTATTACGTGCTTTGGATTTATGCGTGTGGTTAGTTCAGTACCGCTAGAAAATTTGTATCTCCATATGAGGAGCCTACCGCGTTGGCGGATCGCTTGAGTGGTGTGGCATACAAAAACGACACCGATGTTATCGTGTATCACGTGATCTATTCTTGTTTGTCAGAAATGTCGAAAACGCTGAACTGTCTCATTGCAGACGGTGATTGAATAGTGTGATGAACTCTGGAAGTGTCACAACGAAGGCGCTGAAAGTTGGGGTGCAATTTGTGTCTCCAAATTTCTTCGCCAGATCCCCTGCGAAACTGGTGTTCGGCCCAAAGGGTTACGTCAGTCATCAGCTTCTTCTATTCCGCTTAAGTACCAACAAAACAGATATTTAGACTCCAGCATCTCTCTTGTTGATCTGCGCGTTCCCATAACTTGTGTCAGATAATTCGCGGGCATCCAGTTGTTGATGAAATTGCGCCACATTTTGGTCACGAAATTCCACACCCAGTTTAGAAAACCCAAACATACGGTTAATGTTTAGTTGGGAAGGAATCCTTTCACGGGAGAATGTCGAGATGGTCGAAGATTATTGGAGACACTCACTATCGGAAAACTGATTGTTTTTTCTAACTCAGTTCAGATTTTGATAAATACACCCATTTGCAAGTCAATTTGGTTATCACGACAGTCTCAACTGAATCTCTTGTTTATAATATTCTACAACTGAATGTGCTGCACACAGGCCGCCTCATGATTCAGTTGGCACGATATTCGAGACATCACAGTATATTTTCATAAAAGAAACTACTCACAAGTTTGCTGAAAACCTTTCGACAGCCCACGAGCGCTTTCGCCCTTCTTGGGGCTCATCTGGTAGGCGCAGTCCCCGGGTTTCCACCAACCCTATTCTGCTTGACCCCAAATTGGACTGTTTTTGGAGAATACACTCATTTGCAAATCAATTTGGTTTTCCCGAGTGACTCAACTGAATCTCTCGTTTATGATGTCCTTCAACTGAATGTGCTGCACACAGGGTGCCTCATGTTTCGGTTGGCACGATACTCGAGATATTGCAGTGTATCTTCATAAAGAAAACTACTAACAAGGTTGCTGAAGAAGAGTTTTCAGCAACCTTGTGTGTAGTTTCAGGTCAAGTTTTTTATTTCGCCCGGTAACGAATTAGCCCCACCTGTTAATGATGAGAGGTGTGTGGTGTGGACGTTTGTTGCTCACGCATTAAACTTCTCACGATGTTCCATCTGTGTGGATACAAGGACGAAGCGCTGTGAAAATAATCACTCAAGCGTGAAGATGTTCACCTATTTGGACAGGTGTCTAATTTGCGCTGATGGGGTAATGATAACACGCTCAACTCGCAGGTCGAATGTCCGCAGTTCGATCCCCGACTTTGCTCTGCTGATGGGTTCGAGTCTAGTGCTTCCCCGTCCCTTAAAGTGGACCCACCAGAATGATTGCGCCAGGACGATTGTTCAAACGAGTGTGATGTGAGTGTGCACTCCACAAATCTCCCAACCACCTGCACCCAATCAGTTGTACTTTCTTTGCATGTCACAATAGTCAGAAATGTCCCCCCCCCCTACGCTCGTTTCAAGTTGTTACACGTATGAAACCAAAAAGTACAAACAGTTCCTTTGATTTGATACTGCTAACATAGTTGATCAAAACTTCTGGGTAGTTCATTTCCGGGTTTCTTCGGGCTCATCACTTTTGAACACAGAATTCGGTGTATCACAAACAAGTGGTCCATCTGAGCTCCAGACAACTTTGTAACTAGCACATATATCCAGTAAGAAATGAGACTGACAGAAGTTTGGGAGCACATTCAATCGGAGAATGGTATAATTGAGAGGTTTAAATGACTCTTCCTCATGCTTAGATGGTTCTTCTTCATGAGATTCGCTATTCAAAACAGTCTACGTTTCCATGAGGGTTGGTCTACCGGGCTGGTTGTGTACTAGTAAATCGAATCGCTGCCAATAGATGCCAAAGTGTACATATAACCTTCAGTCACCCTTTGAAAAGAACCATAAAACTCCGGATTCCAGAAACCGGCCTGGAAACCTGGCTTTGTTATGCTGTCATCATCAAGGGTGAACTGCAACGAACCAGTATATGCCCTAATGGAGTTCTCAATGATATGCGGTCCACAATGAGAGCAGAGAGAAATAGAGCGGACATCTTTGAATACGCTCTTCGTAATGGTATACCTAATGGATCTTCTACATTGAAAATCGAAAGCGGTCGTTGTATTTTTGACCACCATATCGATGCTTCATTCATTTTCTCAGGATGTCCTCATTGGCATTCCTACCTCTCAAGTATCGATGAATCAACGCGTTCAAGTTGAAATTCAAAGCGGTTGGTTCAGATGGAATTTAGTTGTAGCAATGGTTAGAAGATCGAACAAATCCAGCTGAATAAGCTGTTTTTGATAGTAATCCGGGCAGAAATAGCCAGAGCGAATTCAGCATGCTTCACTAACCAAAACATATGTCATTGAAGTTTGAAGGATAACTTATGCTTGCATAAATTTTAATTCAGGAACAATCGATGGATCAGACTATCCTTTACAGCATCTAGCCCTATAAAGTGGCCGTCTCCATCACTCCTGTCGGTATCCGCTTCACAGAAGTTCTACTGCGTTTACAAAGAATTTAGGTTGACAAGCAAATTTCATGCTAGATAGCGCAGAAGACCTTTAACTGTAGTGTCTGCTTAATGAATGTAGGGTACCGAAAGTGTGAAGTCCACGTGCATGCAATAAATAAGAAAACAGACCTCCCGGGTGTGTCCGAACAACAAAAATTTCCCTTATCAGACTACAGCTGGGCTGCCTGGGAGTGTTGTCTCACTCACTTGGAGCTCACATGTGGTTCATCACGCCTCTGTCCGAGAGAATAGTGGTCACTGTCTTTTAGCTCTACGGTAAAGGTCCTTCCTTGATTTCTACAGCACGTCAGAATTAAATAGCGTCAGTTGAAACTACAAAGTTTTAGCACACGTGATATGAATCAAAGGCATTAAATTGAGGGGAGCTCAAACCACCAACTTAGGGTTCACCCATCAGCTACCGAGCTACCGGGTATTTGAGTAGCTCATGACACTGAACGAGTTAAGACTTGCATCTAGTAGCGTAATTCTAACTTAAAGTTCAACTGAGCAAAGTATTTAGACGAGACAAGGTGAACAAGTGGTGTTGTCGTTTTTTATGTCCTAAATCACAGACGTTTTCTTTTTCACAACACCTTTGGACAGACATTAGAAATTTGAAACATCAGGGTCGTGAATCGGTACCATGATTGAATTACTTCTTCATTCAACACTTTCGGTTTGCAATTCAGACCACATAGTTATTCACGTGATTTGTCTCGTCGGGATCCTTAAATTGAATGGACTTTTTGTAAGTTCCTGATTACAGTGGGCGCAAATACACCGAGGCAAGATGCCTCACACATATTCTCAGCACTTTTTGTGTAACGCTTGGGTAAAAAGACTGACCTCCAGGTAATAGCTTAGGTCATCAGCAACGGCTTACCTTATCACTTCTATAGGCTCTTAGATTCGGAATATGATGTGGATGTACTTTTAAAGACTGTGCACAGATTTTTCAAGAGTTTGTGGTGCAGTCAGATCACGAAATTGTCCGAAAAGTTTGTACCTTGCGGCCAAAACTAATAACATATGTCTTCTGTAAGTTGTCAGTCACATGATGGATCCGTTTTAGCCAAATGCGACAGTTATAGGTCTTATATACAGTACAGTTATAACAATTGTAGTTTTTTCAGAGCATGTTAAAAGGTGATATTGAGTATCTTTCCGCTATGCGAGCAGAAATATAGCCTGGTAACATCGGTAGTTGAGCGGTGACTGTTGATTGGTTCGCTGAAAATAGCTTGCGAACGCTTCGAGCAGACATCATTGACGCACGGGGACGGGTGGATAGCTTCTCTCCTCTTGGCTGCGTTTCTGTACTTCTTTCTGAAAATAGTGTTTTCAGCCTACAACCACATGTCAAAGTAATCAGAATACTAAATGGAGCCGTTGGAAATTGGGATCTTACCTCTATAAAGGAAATTACTCACAAGGTTGCTGAAAACTCTTCGACAGCCCACGACCGGTTTCGCCCTTCTTGGGGCTCATCAGGTAGGCGCAGTCCCCGAGTTTCTGGCAACCCTATGATCTATTTGAATATCACAAACCAGGGATTCAGTTGAGTCTCTCGTGAAAACAAACTGATTTGCAAATGGGTGCATTTCTCGGGATCATATCTCATTAATCTCATTAGTGTCATCAATCGACCCACGGATCACACCATGGACCAAAACACCACTCATAAGGTTGCCGAAAGCTCCTCAAAAGTCCACGACCGACTTGAGCTTTTTTGGAGCTCATCAGGTAGACACAGTCCTTGAGTTTCCGCAAACCTTGAACCTTTAAATTCTCGTTACTTTCAAATGTTTCAGCATCGAAAGCACACTACTCTAGTTAAATCATGACACAACCAACAAGGTATACATTCAAACCTCACCATGGATGCTTGTCCGCTGAAATTGGCTTTGCACATCCTAACGCAGAGTTTCTGGTCAACAAAAACTAGCACCATGGTAGATCCGTTATCAACTCATATGCTTAATGGCGTGCGACCATACAGGCTACAATCCCGCTCGCCTAAACACAAAGTGATGCGCCAGTTTGTTGCAGTGAGTAGTGAGTTGAACGCTGGAAACAGTGATTCACGTATCGATTTCATCGATCTCTCTCGCTGGGTCTAGCGTGATTGCGTAGCCTACTTCGTACCATTGCCTCTCTCCCCTCGGATTTGAATGGATGAGTTTATATAGCAATTGAAGCACGGCTTTGAGACTTGTAGGTGCAAACTGCATTCCAACTAGGGGTAAGGGTGGTCTGTTTTAGCTCAACTTGTGTCTTGTTTTCACCTCTGGAAAAGCAGAACGGTGTCATTTGCATATTCCAAATCACACATTTGCTCATCAATAGGGTTTCGAACACCCCTGGTTTAATGCATACCAACTTCAATGCAATCATTCAGCCTACATATAGAACTATGAGCAGAATGTTCGAGAAGGCATGATTACGGACTAACATTTTGGAGAACATGATCTGATCCCCTATGGAGAACAACGAAACAAGTCCAATCTTCGTAATGCACTACTCAAAAGGTCGCTGAAAATTCGTCGACAGCCCACGGCCGCACCTCTTGGGGCTCATCAGGTGGGTGCAGTCCCGAGTTTTCATCAACTTTATGTTCTACCAGAAGGCGACTTGCACGAAATTAGCGAAATACACTCATCTGCAAACGAATTTGGTTCACCTGGAACCCAGCTGAATCGCTCATTCACGATGTTTCCAATCTCCTTTGAATCTTGGTAGCCTGCGCACGAACTGTTTCAGAAGGGAATGTTTACTGAGTGGAAGCCCTGAACGCGATCATAAGTACACCATTCTAGAAAACTGTACACAAGATGACCATAAGCACATTACACAGACGTTCACACTGATTCAGAGAAACTGTAAGACAATGTGGAAACAAATAACTTTTACTTGCAAGTGATCAACAGAAGGAGTTATGGAGCATCTGAAATGAAAGACCGTTTTAGTATTAAATCGTCAAATGTGATGATTATGGTGATGACCGTGAAGGTTGACTAGCAAAAATTCCTCTAGCCGTCGGAGCTGTTTGTGATTAGCGAATGCAATAATGATCTACTAAAAGCATGTAAATTCAGTGTGTAAAGCCGCTGGGAAAAAACAGGAGCTGTTTAGATTTTCTGTTCAGCCAAAGGTGGCGGATAAATTGTGAGGGAACTTGCAGCAGAAAATATCCTATAAGAGAGAGCGTACAAACTTGGTCGGGTTATACTCTCACAAAGTCTAAGGTAAGCATGATCCCGGACGAGGCAGTAGGCTGGTGGTATTATGTGGACAAGAGATGAAGCTTTGAAGATCCCTTGCCATACGTAGTTACCGTGGGTTGACGATTGTGCCCGGTGTGTGTGCGTCTTGTGCATTGAAGGTGACACCTAATCGACTATTTCTTGTAGTCATTACAAGTACACATTAAAACCTTTGGCCGAATGGGTACAAAACTCTTCCGCTTCACAGAGATAAAAATACTTTCTCGGATATTTAATTACTGATGTGTTCTTCTCTGTCCCAGTTAGTTAATTTTTTGAACGTGACGGAGGGGGGGAGGTGAGGAACAAACAGAGATCGTGGGGTGTCAGGTACTCTTATGTCAACGACTGCTAGTCATCCAGCTAATGGAAGAATCCACTTGATCAGAATTCGGTCAGTTCACCGGTGAGCGGCAAGAAGTCGCTTTCAAAGGTGAGCCAGTATCCGGTTCCTTGCGTTTGAATACGGACAAGAATGATGCGCAGCTCGTCTTAGCTTTTTTGGTCTCGGATTTAGGATTGCCCGACGCATTCACCTAACCTGGTTTCCAAACTTTTTAATTTTCCGTCTCACGGATGGACGAAAGTTGGGTGCAAGGACATCAATTTTACTGTCATTTGAACAGTGATTGGTATGTTCTGCGAATTCAATCAATGAAGTGAATGGACAGATTCGACAGATGAACTGCTCGTTCTCATGGTATCACTACAACCCAAAATATCAGTATTCCTGAATTCCCAAGGTGCATTCGACTCGGTTGAGCGGTCTTTACTCATTGGCACGTTTTCTCACCAAGGAATGTCTCGGAAGTTTGTGAATATAATATGTTCGCCGTATTCTCAGACTTTCGTACATATGAAGTTATACGGCCAGGTCTCCAAAAGCCTCCGTACATAATGCAGTGCCGCTGGACGGTCTCCAAAACCCTGGTGTTCAAATAACTCTCGTGACGAAAACTTTGTCGATCTGGAATAGGCAGACAATATCGTTCTCATCTTCAAAGAGGAGGGGAAGGCGCAGGTGTTTTTGGAGGAACTGACCAAAGTCATCCCGTCCTTTGGTATGAACTTTGCACCCATACAGTGTAAGGTCATGCTCGTGGACATGCGGTCACTGAACACGCCACTTACAATCCAGGGAGAGGTACTGAAGGTTGTGGAGCATTTTACATGTCTTGGAAGTTGTATTAGTTCTGATTGTAGTGTGACAGATGAGGTGAATGCACGAATCTGCAAGGCTCGGGCCGCGTTTGCTAATCTGAGACACCTATGGCGTCAGAGTGATTTATCCCTGAATCTCAAGGGACGTGTGTATCAAGCTGCAGTATGGGCTATTTTGTTGTGTGGTTGTGAGACTTGACCTATTCGAGCAGCGGAACTGAGACGTCTTCACGTGATCGACAATCGTTGTCTCAGAACCATAGCTCGTGTGGGTTGGTGTCCGCGAATCCATAACGAGGCAGTTAGAAAGCGTGTTTTTGGTTGTGCAACGGGTACTTCCATTGAAGAATATGTCCAGCACCAGAAGCTGTGTTGGTTGAGAACATGTGTTACGTATGCCGAACCATCGTTTGCCGAAGAGAGTGCTGTTTTCCATGCCCAATTCAGAGTGGCGTAAACAGAAAGGTGGCCAACCCTGGACTTGGCAGAGGAGTATGAAGGAGATCACGAAACGCTTGGGTGCTG